TCCCTTATAGCTAGGAAACTATGGCTATAGGGCTGCCATGGGCTACAGGTGCCCCATGCGGCCAGAACTCCTAGTCGCTTGGGCAACCCTTGTGGCTATGAAACCCTAGTCGCCAGGGGTTCCTCATGTACCTAGGAAACCTAGCTGCAGGGGCTGCCATACAGCAGATTGAGGGCAGCCATACTGCTCTCATTCCTGCTACTTTTGGCCAGGTCGAGAGCAATAAATTGGAGCTCTCGGCCAAGGTTGCAAGAAATCTTCGGCCAATCCAAGGGGCAACAATAGTTGCTACCCTGTCTTCCCCTTTTGTGTTAACAAAATTGACATCAAAAGCCCTATCTAAAACATCTCTTAGTAGTAAGAAAAGGTATAGTACATATTTGAAAACTACAATAAAAAATCATAGCAGTCGCGCAAAATAATTTCAATGCGATTGAACACAATATACGTAGTTTAAAAGCCAATCTTTTACACAAGCAACCTAGCTCTAATACTACTATTGGGAAATCTGGGGTAATATCATATGTGCAGTGGAAGAATGGAAAAACCAAAATCCTAGAATTCCCATAGAAAAGAATGTTTCATCGTCGTGTAAAAGTTGGTGTGCAAAAATCTGTGAAACCAAAAAACTGCATATAAAATAATTACCTAGGGAGATCATATATCCCTAAAAACCTATAGATTTATGAGAGAGAATGAAAGAGATTAACTATCCTTCTCTCTAGCGATGATCCACATGGTAGGGGCAACGAAGATGCTCCTCAAATTGCTGCCCAAAACTCTTTCTCGTGCACACCATGTAATTAAGAAGAGGCTGCCCCTTCTTGCTGTCCACACACCCCAAATAGGGGCTATAATATGAGGAGAAGAAGAAGAGAAGAGAATAGGAGGAGGCAAACAAAAAGTACCTCTAGCCTATGGGTTTTTGGTTCTCTCATATTTATAGAGGCCCCTTGTCAATTTAACCATAATGGATCCTACCATATTGGGTATTGGATCTCTATCCAATTACCCAAGCCTCTTAGATTAGTGGATCTCTACCCAATAATCTCTTATTAGCCTTTATTGGATCTCATCCATAGAATCCAAAATTCAGGGGCTTATTGGATATCCAATAAGATAAAGGCTCTAACGGATATCTCATATCCGAACCTCTACTCATTATAATGCCTACCATATATATATGACCCTTTAGGCTCAATATCGAGCTGGTCGTGAATCATACCTATCAGAACTCCTTTTGGCTAAATGAATTATTCTATATAATAATTCACTCAACTTATCGACTACGGATATATTATGTCACTATACCATAATCCCTAGAAGATATAAGGGAATACAATCCTTTTGGACCTATCTATCCTCAATTACCATGTACCTGTAGTCTCTCATCCATCTAATATCCTGGAGATCATATGCCGAGTATGATACTATTAGGCCCATATAGTTTCTACATGAGTATCACTCTAATCGAATTCTCCCGGAGAACTCTTTCTCTCTCAATCCGAATGACCTTAGCCAGGGATTTGTTTGAGCAAGAATGCATAGAATATTCCTCTCATGATACCAAGAGCGGATAATCCTCTATCGACACTCAATAGCCCTTGTAAGATTGGCTACCACTCCCAATGATTGGCTGTGCTAGATCTGGAACATTCAGACCTATAAGTCCAGTATCAAAGAGTTGAGTACTCATACAAGACATCCTTGGTGTCTCAAGTTTAAGGACCAGATACACTACTGGGATGACAGAATCGTTGTTTGACAATAAGGCATCATCAACCATCTAACATTCCGTGAGCGGGCCAATCAGTAAACCCATTCTCCAATTAGCACCTGCACTATATCCCTAGTGTCCCCATACAAGCAACTATGAGACTAGTTACATCCATCATATGGACGGGTATACAACACACCAGTTTGTTCGGTTATCTCAATATCTCTCTCGAGTAACCTATGACTATGATTATTTATGATCTGTGTTTAAAGGTGAATCGGTCTCATTATCGTAATCTCATCACGATCTGATTCTCATTGCATAGATCCATGGACATCACAATATATTCATATAATAGATAATATAAAGTGATAAAATACCAAATAATAATAAGCAAGAAAGACTGCATGTCAAGTCACATGTGTCATTACTAACGTGATTAGCTTGCAGGGCACTTATGACTAGCAATAATTATACCAATCTATTCTCAATAGAGCCACGAGGGCGAGGAGAGGGCTCTCAAGTCCTTCGAAGGTATCAGCCGAGGTGTCCTCTATGGATAAGATCCTTAATTTGGTATTTCAAATCTCGACATTCTTCGATGTCATGGTCGTAGTCTTAGTGGTACCTATAATATTTGGTTTTGTCTTTGAACTTAGACGTGATCTTCAATGGTCTGGGCTCCCTTAAGACCCCTTTTCTTTGATTTAGAGAAAGATTTTTATCCTGGATGAATTGAGAGGTGGTGGTGGTGGCCTTGAGAGCGAAGGCTCTAGCTTGTTGAATTTCTTCCTATGTAGTCTTAAGGACGAACCTCAGGGCTATTCCACAGTAGGGCCTTTTGTTCATCTCCTCGGGCCTTGTTGCCACCATTGTTTCAATTGCAACGAATTGATGAGCCCTTTGGAACATCTCAGAGACTATTGCTAGGGGCCTTTTGACTAATGACCAAAAGAACCTCATTGACCATAGCCCTGTTATGAACACTTGTATAATCAGTAAGAGGTGAGCATCGGTTACCTCTTGAATTTCTATGGTGAAGCAAGTGACAAAGAGAGAGAGAGAAAGAGAGAGAGAGAGAGAGACTCATCCTCCCTTTGTTATAGAAATGTCACTGTAGATGGCTTGGGTCATACATTGACCACGAAGTGTAACTCGAATTCCTTGGCAAGTTGGTCAAAAGACATGATCGAAAATGGTTGTAGCCGATTGTACCACACTCGAGCTAGTCATTGAAGGGTGGTGGGAAACACTCGGCGTATTAAAGCGTTGGCTATGCTATACAAGGCCATTTGAACCCAGAAGGCAGCAACATGTTCTACTGGATTAGTACCACCATCATAGACCTCTAGAATCGGGAGGTGGAAGTTGAGCAAGATAGGTTTGTCTTGAATTTCCTCGGTGTAGGGGGACTCTCTTGTCATGCTATCCCCGTAATCCTCCTTGATTTTATATACTTCCTTCTAGACCTCGTGTAAGCATCAGTTCATCCTTTGTAGTTGAGCCCATAATGAGTCTTCCATTAAGTCAAACGACAGTGCTTTTGCCTCGAGAAAGGCAGGAATGGTATGTCGAGTATCGTGCCCTAATGTTGGTTCTAAGTTTCTTGGTCATCCTCGGTTGGAGGGTCATCGTTAGGAGCCATAGGCAACAAACCAACTAGAGAAGTGTTGTGCCTTAGGAGAGTAAAGGTTACCTAAGATACGGGTGATGACGGTGGGGGAGGGGCCTCTTCTTGAACGAGCTATGGTATATGAGGTGCGATGGTCTGCATAATCCCTACCAATGCTTACACATGATGGGTGTGGCTAATGAATGTCTCTACGGGGACCACCATTTATCTCGTGCCAATCCCACAAGGTGAGAGCCTGGGGTTATTGAATGAATGTCAATAGCGCGCAAAGGTCTGGGTGGAGGTGTTCCTATCTATCTACTGAGGAGGAAATGATTGGCCTCCGAGGTAGAAGGTAGAATGGGTAGCGGGCACCTCCTTGGAAGAACGCTCGCTAAGGTTGTTCATTGGCAGACGCTCTTGTGACATCGAGCCATCCTTTTAGTGCAAAAAATATTATGATTCTTCATGTCGTAGTTCGGGAAAGGGCATGGTTTGGTTTGGTCCCGATAGTATAAGGTCATCTTCATAGTTACTCGAAAGGAGTGTTTCATGAAGAAGGAATGAAGAATCATGGTCGTCGCCTCATAAGGTGTTTTTTTGGCAGATCCGCGAGGGGCTTCTGGTCTTGAGTCCCTACACAACTAGTCAACACTACGGAGGGGAGTTCCGACTTAACCCCTCCGAAGCTTAAGTCAGTATTTGTGGACAATGAATCTTGTCCCCTAGCATCTACCCCAGGTGATTTTTATATATTTCATAGGGAGTCGGCTCCCCCTATGCTTGCTAGCGTTCGTCAACATTTTAAGTGGGTAATTCGTTTGTTTCGAGGCCATCCTCCTGACTCTATGCTTTTGTAGGGTTATATCCTTGATGGCAAGTGTTACTTCATGCAACTCCAAATAGTATAGATTTGTTATGCATTGCTTTAGAGCCAAGTTGTGTTGCTTCTGAGTTGGACCGCATCGCTTTAGGACGCAACTGTTCCTGTATTAATCTATGTCGTTTTGAATTACTTTGAGATATGTGCACTACGAAGTGGCACAACGTGTGATTTGAGTTGACTACCAACGGGGTGGTACTAGAATATCCTATACCAAATACTTAACATTTGTCAAACTTAATTATCAAGAAGTAAAGATTTAAAATTTTATCCTATAAATTTTACATTAAAATATTAATATAATAATAATATATCAAAGGATTGATGATTCAAGATCTTATCTTATATAATAAATTTGATATATAAAATATTAATTTGATAATAATATATCAAACTCATCGATTGATAATTCGAAACCTCGTTTCATAACTTGATACCTAATTCTCTATTTAATATATCAAATCTCATTTAATAAATTTTATATGATAGACTCAATTACCAGTGACAAATGACAAACTAGATTTGAGTTGGAATGAAATTGGCAAATCCTAAAACAAACAAAATGGTTTACATCCTATAATAATGTGCCTAATTTACCATCAAAGTCAGTTCCAAAACATTAAAACAAAACCCTTCGTCCTCCCCAAAGCCAGCTCTTCATCCTTCCCAAAATTCACATGTCATATATTATTTACAAAGGCAAATAAGTTATCTTAATCCATGACTGAGTTCAAAGTCTCCCGTGAAAGATTCTTCTGATGCGCCCCACAAGAACGGTGTGAGGTAGTAAAATACTCCCGACTCCACAGATGCAACCCCCCACTAATCCAAGCGCTTTGGCATGGGACCCACTAAGCGTTTAATCTTAATCCTTAGCTCTTTTCCCTTCTAATATAAAGCAGCTGTACCCTTCACTATTCCCCTCGGCCCCTCACATCGATTCCACCGGCTCTCTGTCTCTCTTAGCAGTTGGAAGCGATGAACCAATCGGCGTCCGGCGAGAGGAAACCGGAGTCGATGGGGCCGCCGATGGGGCTCTCCCGATACGGCTCGGCGCCCGGCTCGTTCCTATCGGGGCTCGCCGATTCGGTCGCCACCGGCAGGGGAGGAGAGGAGCTGTCGGCCGTCGGGTCGGAGGGGATGATCGGCCGGTTCTTCTCGGGCGACTCCCCGTGCCTCACGTCCGAGTCGAGCTGCCGGGCCGCCTGCCGGGGCTCTGATCGTGACACCCCGGGGGCTCCGGCAACCGGCGGGGCGTGCCTTCATGGGCCCTACGCCCCCGAGGCGCTCCAAGTGTCGGCTGCCGGGTCGCCCTTGGTACGGCACAGCAGCTCGCCCGCTGGCTTCTTCTCCCATCTCCTAACGGATCACGGTCAGCCTCTCTTGCCCTTATACCAATTTCGTCATCTAATCGATTCTTTTGCGACACGTGTCGTTCCGATTTAGAACGGATCTCGTGTCGTCCAATAGCTGGCCCTCAGTTCTGTATTATGTTTGCTTGAAGAGCAGCTGATAGGCATGTCTAAGTCCAGTGAACATTACTGTGGTCGTGCGTTGACATCGATCTGCACGACGGGGACATGGCATCAGAACTAGAGTAGATAAATACGAAGAAGGCTTGGGGTGTGTGTGCCGGGGGGAATGAACCTGGAGAGGAGCCCACAAGCGGATATGAATGCCCAACCTCATGTGTCATGTGGACCATGATGGCATTGCATAGCTGGTGTTGCAAGGAAGAGATAATTATTAAGGTCTACCATAGCTAGCATCCGAATTGCAACATATGGATCAAATGATAAGAAATAAGAAGCTTATAATTGGATGTATGTGCAGTGATGAAATGATGCCATCTATGCTCAGAATTATTTGTCACTCAAGATGCACTTGCTAGTCTACCTTAGCTAACAAAAAAGAAAGATCTCGAGTTGATGATGATGGATTGTCATATAAAATGCAAGTGGGTTGGCCATTAGATTCCACCTTTTAAACCATTACTAGGTGATTAACGTGTGCAAACCTTACGCCAATGTGATCAACATCATAAGCAAATGCTTATTTTTTATAGATCTAATTTTGATTCACTGACCAAAGCCTAATTTGCACTTCTGAACTCCTAATTACGCTTTTGCAAGGAAAACTGGAAAGTTGCATCAGTGAGTGCATGAATCATTCTGTTAATATTTCAAACATTTTAGGATTTATGCTTTGGCTTTTATATTAACAATAAAACTCTTTCTTTCAGCATTAACTCACCTAATCTGTTGACTAACTTGTGGTTCAAAAAGGGATAAATTTTTTTGTTTGTTTTTGTGTCATATCAATAATTTGCAAGTTGCGTAAGAAAACATGTCATGTGGCTACCTTGAGCCTATGGAGCTTGTTTCCTTTCCAGGATACATCTCTCAGAAGTTTTCCTGCTCTTCAGTTCTAATATTTGGTTGGAAGATGTAGCTTTCCCGACTTTAATGAATAGCCCATTAATATTTATACACAATTTTTTAAATGGTCAAAGTCAAAAGTGATTGCTTATATTTTGATCTGTTTTTTGGATGATTTGGGGTGGTGAAGATCTGTAGATAAAAAAGCATACAAATACTGATTAAGTGCAGATTGATAAATTTGGTTGATTTTGTGATACTCTAGATTTTCAGTTGGTATGATTTTCTTTTATATAAGGACTGAAATAAAACTTTTTCCTAAATAAACAAAATATAATTTTTTCGGTAAGGAAGGATTGAAGTGCAAGTTAGAAAGAGTTTAGGATGACAATGAACTTATGGTAACATTTGGGGTGTGTAGCAATTATCTTCCATTTGTTTGATTGTTATATTTAATATCTGAACATTTCCTTCATTTGTCGCTTAGACAACAAAGATTGTTTGTCTTTGTTCCACTCGACCAAAATTTTGAGCCTTCCAAAACTCTATTACTCTTTCAAGTGATTTGTTTTAGCTCCCACCTATTCCTACTATTTTCTGACTGCTGTATTCATAACAGTTTCTAGACCAGGCAAACTTTCCAGGTGCCACTCACATGTGGATCCTTTAGTTGCATAGAACTTGCCACTTGCCTTGCAGTAAATTGTACCTAGTAATTTACTGTACTTGTGGCATGAATCTAGTTACATTAAATTGCCACTGGCTTCATGGGCAGATTGTTATTTGTACGTTCAAACAATTGTTATTCAAGAGAAAGGTAGCCTAGTGCATAAGGCTTCCACTAATGAAATGTCACATCAACACCTAAGCAACAATAAGGCATTTCATGCCAGCTACATGGTAGTAATGAAACTTTGTTTTTATTTTCTTTATTTTTATCTTATAAAATATTCTTTATCATTATTATAGCTGAAAGCTCTGAAGACATCATTGAAACGTAATATGTAATGCTTGACAAACAATGACAATCATCTGGTTTCACTTTTCTGTGTTTTGGTGATCAATTATTAGTTTTACAAGGTTTTCTTGTTCACAATTTGGCTTCTAAACAAAAGATAGAAATTCCAAAACCATGAAGCATCAACTGTTGAGTCAATGTCTAGTAGTTGAAACTAAAATCCAAGTCAGAGTGAATGTATGGGTCTACTGGACCATATTTGTTTTGTAAAACTTCCATTTCTTTAGTTAAACTTTATTAAAAGCTAAGATATAACTACAGAGAAAGCAATGTGGTAATTGGTTAAGTGGCTTGCTTGTTTGACAGACTATTAGTGGGGTTTCTGTTGTTTATAGAAGTTATGCATTCTAGAATTATGATAACCAGGAACCGGATTGTATGACATTTTGGAATTTGGTGGTAGTAAAGCAAGGAAACTCTTATGCGTTCTTCTGTACTTATGGGTTCTCAAAGAAAAAGAGCATGAGAATTCTAATATATTTCATTATTGATTGAATTTTATGTATTATAAATAGGTCTTTCTGCTACAAGGGCAATTGGAAATTACTCTCAAGCAGGCACAGATGGCATCCACGCATATGCAAATAGAAGGCTGCGGTCCCAATGGAGCTTTTCAAGGCAGGATTCACTGTCACAAATCTCAGAATTGAGCATCCCCGAAATAGGGGAGACTGATACATGCTGCAACAGCTCAGATGAGGCAACTGGGCATGCTGGCCAATCATACATTTCTGGCAATTTTCAGTTGGGCTCATGGGATGATAACAATTCAATTGTGTTTACTGCTCCACCTAGCAAACGGGCCAAAGATAATAATGGGGATATAGTTACTGGTCTCAGTAATGTAGATTCTCAGGTAATTGGGCACTCTCATTGGACCATTTGTATCTATATACATCAGGATCCCGATTCATGGTGGTTAAACTCTACTGCGGTGACGATACTGTAGGGGAGGTCCTGCAGAAAATGTTACTCTAGGGATAACAGGCTGATCTTCCCCAAGAGTTCACATCGACGGGAAGGTTTGGCACCTCGATGTCAGATCTTCGTCACCTGGGGCGAAATAATTTTTGATCTATCGACAGCATCATTGTAGTAAAGGTCCAAGAATGAAGGATGGAACACTGCCATAAATGAGACAAGTCCAAGAATCTTACTGAAGATGTAGCTTTATAGTGACCATAGGATGTACAGCCTATTACCTATTACCTTGTAATGACACTGTGATCAATAGTTGCAGACTTACTCAGTTCTAGGAATTAATTTATTAGCAATTCGTACATCATGAGGTCTCTGTTCAACAATCATTGCTGCTTAAGTTGATCACCCACTTTCCTGGCCTCAGAAAGTATAACTTTTTGCCTCAATATTATAGTAATGCATGGCCAGATTCTTAATCATATCTCACAGCCTTTAACTTCATGTCCAATTATTCTCTAATCCACTATGGTTCTGTTAATCATGAAATTTCCATATGTCAGTTTAGTCTGCCAAGGACTTCATCAGAAATGTCTGCTTTAGAGAAATACCTTCAGGTCCAACAAGATTCAGTCCCTTGCAGAGTCCGAGCTAAGCGTGGCTGTGCAACACATCCCCGGAGCATTGCTGAGAGGGTTAGACAGACTGTTCTTTTCTTTCCTCTAAATGAAGTATTCCCTGTGATGTTGGATTTCTTGTATATGCATCCTGACAGAGAAAATATGCTAGCACTTGTTTATGTTTATACCATGCATCACATTTTGTTACCCAACATCTTTACCATTGGCCTGGGTTTCTAGTTCTGTGCAACATAATTGTTGTTCCTTACACCAGCTTTATGTTGTATGTGCTATTTATACTTCTAATTTTGTTCTGAACTTAATCTTGCTGTTTTGTTAGGAGAGGAGAACTCGAATTAGCAAAAGGTTGCAAAAATTGCAAGATCTTGTGCCTAACATGGACAAGGTAAAACAAACACAAGAGTATTTTGTTTAGTGATGAAAGTTATATCCTTCTATCATAAGTTAGACGAATACAAATTCTCCAGTAAATGGATTCTCCACAAAGTCTGTCTCCTTTGATCACTTCATTTTTGTGCATACCTTTTCACTGCAAATCTGTTCTTCTGAAAAAGTGATGATTTTATTGTCAATTTCATTGAAGCAAACGAGCACTTCAGACATGTTGGAGTTGGCAATTCAGCACATCAAAGAGCTGCAGAGCCAAGTTCAGGTGCGTACCGTAAGGCAATATTTTTTTTCTGAAAAGTATGGTTATAGAAACATAATATCCAAACTCCAAGACTGTTCAAGTATTAGTAGATTGTTTTTTTAATTAATATGCTTTCCTAAATATTACCAAGTTGGGGGGAAGAACTTAATGAACAGAAGCATATGCTGTCTTCCAGGTACTTGTCTTTGTTTGTTTCATCTTAAGATACATTTTCCTAGCTACTTAAAGCATTGTCAATGTTTGTTCCATTATTGCTTTTATTTCACCCTATCTACCTATAACACTGTTAGAGTGGTTTCAACTTAAATTGGTATTTATGCATGTAAAAGTCACCATGCAAATTCAAACCGTACTAGTTTTTGTAGAAACTGGGTCGTCATCAATTACGAAGATTAGTGAAAAAATTAAATGGAAACTTTCTGATTTCCTTCTTGCTACCTATTTTTCTTTTTTCCCCTTATGGGGTATATTATATTATTGCTAAATATTCTATTGAGAATAAAATACGAAGTCCAAATCCGAAAAGCTTTTGATTTTTGAATTTGTATGACAACCAAGTGGCATGATTCAGTTGTATGAATTTCACTTCCTGATGAGACAAGATATATTATTTATGTTGCTCCTATCTAAATAGGTTTCATCAAGAACTGACCACTTAGCTCACAGAAAAGAGAACACATTGTGTTATGAGTGACTGATATATCATAGCAACACTAACTTTTTTTTTTCCATTAAAATTAATTTTACTACATTAAATATATGATGCTCATACGTAGATTTAAATATGGAACATATCACTTGTGTAATATTATACTAATCAATTCAGAATTCTTAAGAGAAACTAACAACGCTGACTTGAAATTACCCTTTTCTTAATACTGGTTTTTTTTTCTCAGAAACTAAAACAAGAACAAGCTAATTGCACATGTCCAGAGATGCAAGAGAAAGCTTGAGAGTGATACAATTACTACGAAGAATATGCTGTGCGATATCATTGTTGTCTTATTGGTGTTGTGTATTTAAGCGAAAAATCCTTGCCAATTGTACGTTGATGTTTACTTTTTGTGATCTTTCGGCGTAGATGGTAAAGAACGAGGTCATGTAATATGGTGACTTGTTATTTTCTTTCACTGTATCATTTTGCTGTACTCAGATGTGGCAGCTATTTAGTGGTCCAAAACTAGCAGATGGAAGCCCATTCTATATGGATGGTTGTAATGTTTAATGGGAGTGACGGATGCTTTGTGATTGGGGAGAATCAATCAGACGGTCCGATTTCTCTGTGACAATTGAAAAGGATACTACACACAATTAGAATTGCGAATGTGGGCTTCACGTCAAGTTCTGATGGCCAAAGCTGTTGCAGAAATTTAAACTTAGTGCGCTTCACTTATAGCTTTATTTTCAACATCTTGTTTTTTCAAAAATGGTTCATGTGTAGTCGTAATATCCATATTTTTATCTAAGAACCTGAGCATAAATATAGAATAGATGGACTATATGAATGGCTGGCAATACCATTTGGACTCAAAAATGCCTCCGCTACCAAGGACCATGCTAGGCATATTCATAAAATGCTAGAAATCTGTCAAGAAAATGGATTATTACTCGGGAATGAGTGGTAAAAGTACAAACACAGCTCACCAACTCTCTTTCTCCTTTTTCTCTGGTATTGGCCAAAAGTGAAGGGAAGAAGAGAAAAGAGGATGGTAGTAACATAATTTTAATTAATCATAAATTAATAATTTGATTTTATAAGTGAATCTAGGGTTAAGGATACCTTTCTCTAGTAGGAAAGCGCAGATGATAGGCAATGATGATCCACAAAAGACTAAAGCGATTTGACTCTTTGGTTTTACAGATCGAAATCTTTTGTTTTTCTATCTTATAATCGATTATAAGATGTAGAGATCCTTTTAGATATTTTATATTTTAGTTTCTCCCCTATAAACAAAATGCTCTTTTAATCAATTTTTTTATAAAGGATTGTGAACATGATATTGATTGGGTTATATTTTATGTAAATAAAAGTGAAAATTATTTGTTTTGAGATTCAAGATTGTTTGATCGAGCCTTTTACCAGTTCTGTTAATGAGATTAGATGATAGTAGCTTGAGTTATGGAAGTGAAAACATCAAAAAAACAAAAGAGAGAGAAGGAAACTTGTAGCTCGACAACCACGAAGAGGTCATCAGCCACTACAAGTTTTTAACAGTCTACGAGATGTCCAACTGTGCTGCTAAGCTCGTAGGTTCGAATAAGTCCAAAACATGTACCTGTCATTGAACCGCACGCATATATCTCCAACCCATAATTTCATAGAGTATGGCAACAATGCTACCTACAATTAAATCAGCAAATGAGAGAAACTTCAACTTATGACAAGTACAAATGATCTTGCCGAATCACGGAGGTTTTGGGCCTCTTCAAAATTTGTATGTCTCTGATTTCATCTCATATGAACCCACACGGATCATGGAACCTTAGTAGTAGTTTCATCACTAATATATATAACGGCAAGATGTAACACAGGAGAATTGAAGTTAACCTTTGGTTATTTAAATACCATATGTCTAATGTAGTGTATACAGTGAGCTTAACGTTATTAGCAAACTAATTATGTAGTAGTAATGTTAACTCATATAAAACATTGGTTTGCCCAAACCTATTGATAAATATCTGCGTTTCGAGTGACGCATGATGCTTCGATCAAGATAAGACAATTAAAACAAGAAGAATTATGTTATGCTGGAGGAAAACATGTCAGAAGATTAGACGTCGGACTAGTGGATCGGTCAACGTATCGACGAAAGGCTTCGGGCCGTGGATTCGGGCATCGGGCCAAGAAGAGCGGATATTGCGCCAAAGATATTGGAGTTGCAGAGTCAACTGGCCGATTGGGCAATAGGCCGCAAGAGAGGACGATGCGTCGAAGAATCAGATGAAGCGTCGAGGGACCAATGACATGCTAGAAAACTTGATTAATGCTTAGTATTAATTGTCTAGATCGAAGTATATTTTACATGTGTAGGATTAACTACGATATCAAGGCATGAAGCAAAATGAAGTCCCGGAGTCAAAGACGTGACTTCGTTAGGAGTTCGAGAGTTCGTCGGAAATCTGGATGTTCGTCGAAAGTTCTATCGGAACCAGCCGAGAAGTCTCGGAGCTTGCTAGAGAAGCTCATCGGAACTCGCCAAGAAGATCGTCGTGAAGTCCAGGAGCTTACCGGGAGTCCACCGGAACATTGCCGAGAGATCGTCGGAGGTTTGCCGAAAGATCGCCGGAAGCTCACCGGAAGAATAGACTTACAAACTTCTTTAGCTCAGATTATGTCTTAGATTTCGTAGTTAGCACGTAATTGGGTTTGGATTTGGGCCAACCCAATTAGAGACTAGCTAGGCGCATGTAAGGACTGTGTTGGGCCCAATAAGAGACCCAAATAGTGCCCCAAGAAGTCTCATTGTCGTGGCATAGTCTTCGAGACTGTGTCAGGCCTTGGTACCGCCAGTCTGGGCGGTTGTACCGCCCCTGGCACGGTGCCAGGCGGTGGTACCGCCCAGCACTGCCCCCCAGGCAGTGGTACCGCTAGACCTGGGCGGTGGTACCACCCAGGGCAGTGTCAGTGTTAGAATGACACTTGTTGAATCTTGTATTTTGATGATGAAACAACTTGATATGTGTTTATGTTTTAATCTGCATTTTGAGTGACGTAGGATGCTTCGACCAGGATGAGATAATTAAAGCAGGAAAAATCATGTTGTGCTGGAGGAACATGTCAGAAAATTGGACGTCGGGCCGGTGGATCAGTCAATGTATCAACAGAAGGCTTCGGGCCATGGACTCGGGCATCGAGCCAAGAAGAGTGGGTATTGTGCCAAGGATATCGGAGTTACGGAATCAACTGGCCGATTGGGCATTAGGTCGCAGGAGAGGACGATGCGCCGAATAATCGGACGAAGCGTCGAGGGACTAATGATATGCCAGACAACTTAGTTAATTACTTAGGATTAATTGTCTCGATCGAAGTTTTGTTTTACATGTACAGGATTAACTACGATGGAAGTAAGACATGCAGTAGGAGTTACGCCGGAGTCAAGACTATGATCACGTTGGGAGTTCGAGAGTTCGACGGAAGTCCGGACGGTCGTCGGAGGTTCTACGGGAACAAATCCGAGAAGTCCAGGAGCTTGCTAAAGAAGCTCGTCAGAACTCGCCAAGTGGATCGTCATAAGTCCAGGAGTTTGCCGGAAGTCCGCTGGAGCATCGTCGAAGGTTCGTCGGATGTTCGCCGGAAGTTCGCCGGAAGAAGCGATTGACGCACCAGAGCAAGTTGCAGTAAATGTCTTAAGAAATATCGTAGTTAGCATGTAGATTAAGTTAGGAATGAGAGGTGATCCCATTAACTTAATCTAGGGACAATTGGGCCCTTGATAGACCCAAATTGGGCCGAATGGATCAACCCATTCGGACCAAAATTCCTACTAGGCGGTGGCACCACCCAGGAGATGGTCTTCCAAGAAAGCTGGGCGGTGCAACCGCTCCAGTCAAGCGGTGGCACCGCATGGGCTCAGTCTCTGAGCGAGACTGGGCGGTGCAACCGCTCTAGTCAAGCAGTGGCACCGCTTGGGCTCAGTCTCCGAGTGAGACTGGACGGTGCAACCGCCCTTGATAGGTGGTGGCACCGCCCAAAGGCTCAGTCTCCGAGCTGCCAGGCGGTTGTACCGCCCTAGTCAGGAGGTAGTACCATCAGGACCCGAAAATCCGGGAAATGACATTTTTGAGCTCCAAATTCAAACCAGTTGGAGCCTATATATACCCCACCCTTTCCTGCATAAAAGGGCACCGAAAATCCAATCTTTGTGATTTTTAGAGCTCAAAAGTATTGTAAAGGCTAGAAGTTCTCCTCCCTCTTTTCTTTCAAGTTTAGAACTTTTAAGAGAGGAGAGAAATTCTGTAAGGGTTGTCTCCTAAGCCCGTCAAAAGGAGTGAAACTGTAAAAGGGTGGTTGGCCTTCACCTATTAAAGGAAGGCCTCTAGTGGATGTCAGTGACCTTGTCGGAGGAGGAAGCCAAAAGTGGATGTAGGTCAAGATTGACCGAACCACTCTAAAATTACGGTGCTCTCTGGTTTGGATTTATTCTTACTGCTTACCTTATTGCAAACCTCCATATGTGCTCTACTTCCTCTTTACCTTTGCTGCACTCCTTTACGAACTTGCTTTCAAGTTAAGTTTCCGAAAATGGTTTTACGTCGAAAACAATTTCATAGTACGAACGTAGTTTTAAACGTCGAAAGTTTTCCACTGCACTAATTCACCCCCCCCCCCCTCCTTAGTGCTTTTGATCCTAACAATCAGTATCAGAGCCCGGTATTTCTCATTTCGGATTTACACTTAAGAGAAATGACTCTTCATGGCTTTTAAGAGGGCTTATCGGTTGATTGTCCACCGTTGTTTAACGGATTGGACTACACTTATTGAAAAACTCGAATGAGAGTTTTCTTCATTTTTATGAATTTGGATTTATGAAATATTATTGAAAACGGTTTTCAACTTCCCTCTAAATCGATGAACGAATGGTTGGATTTGGAGAAGTATTTTTCTTTAAACACAAAGGCTATGAATGCCTTGTTTTGCGCCTTAGACAAAAACAAGTTTAATCGGGTTTCTATGTGTGAAACAGCTTTTGATATTTGGCGAACATATGAAATCACGCACGAGGGAACTAGTAGAGTCAAAGACTCGAAAGTTCATATTTTTTTGCATGATTTTGAGCTTTTTCGAATGCAACCAAACGAGACTATAGGCGACATGTACACCCGATTCACGGATGTCGTTAATAATCTAAGAGTTCTTGGTAAATCTTTTTTGAATTTTGATCTCGTAAGTAAGATCTTAAGATCCCATCCAAAAAGGTGGGATCCTAAAATAACCGCAATACAAGAGATAAAAAATTTAAATAATTTTCCATTAGAAGAATTAATCGGGTCATTAATGACCTATGAAATGACATTTTTGGAACATTTTGAACCCGATGAGCACTTGAACCACCTTCCAAAGAATAGGAAGTATTTGGAACTCCAGACAAATGAATACCACTTGAGCGATGACTCAAGTGATGAGGACAATGATGAACTTGAACTTCAAACACTAAATCTTAATAAGTTTATTAAACAAAAATCTAAAATAAACAATGAACTTGAA